GGTAGGACGTGGGTGGGGCGTGAGTGGGGTAGGACGTGGGTGAGACGTGAGTGGGGTGGGACGTGGGTGGTGTGGACGTAGGGGGCGTGGGGGCCGGGTGAGGTGGGGGGGACGCGGGTCGAGTAGGACGTGGGTGGGGCGTGGGTGGGGTGGGACGTGGGTGGGGTAGGACGTGGGAGGATGGGACGTAGATGGAGTAGGACGCGGGTGGGGTAGGACGTGGGAGGATGGGACGTGGGTGGGACGTGGATGGGGAGGGAGGTGGGGGGGGGGTGGAACGTGCGGGGATGAATGGTTGGATGAATAAATGAATGCATTAAGGTCCTTGGTTGGAATTAGTCATGATGCTGAATGAAAGGCCGAATGAAAGGGTTTTGTTGTGGTGTAGTGTAGGTAAGCGAGTTTCGGCTCGAAGTTGAATCCATTAGGTTGTAGATTTAATTTGAAATCCACTTTCATATGCTTTCTACAGCTCGTGCTCTCGCTCGTTACAATACCTCTTTTTATCTGTATCTCTCGCACCTCTCTCTCTCTCTCTCTCTTTCCCTTCGCATCTCAGTCTCTGTATCTCTTACCCCCTCCACACACACATGCACGCGCGCACGCACGCACGCACGCAGCACGCACAAACACACACACACACACACACACACACACACGCACGCACGCACGCACGCACACACACATACTGCAGGACTAGGTAGCAGCTAGATTACAGGTATAGGAGCTTTGATCTGTCGAGCTTGACTGATGTAAAGCTGGATTAACCGTCTACATGCTTATACCGTTGCTAAGGACGCAACACACGAAAGTAGGGAAACATCATAGATATGTTATAAGCCGACACAGAACGCAATGACCGTGACATTCAGCTACCGAATGAATGCTACACGGCGTCTAGTATCATATCGTGAAGTAATTTATTAAAGGCATATCATGTCGTTAGTAATTGGAACCATCCTCTCCCCGTTACCTCATTAAGTCCTTTAAATCCGCCTGTGGTTTTTTGCGATATATATCACACTACGCTGTCATTATTCAGCGTCGGTAGAATGCACGAGAAGATGCGTCGGGAAAGAGGGTTAATTTGTTTGTTTTATTTTGATTGGTTAATTTTTTAATTGTTAATTTGAACTCTAAACTAATATAAGGGTAAATGAAAAAAGATGCTGGCGAAACTAGGTATAATAATTATGTCGTCGCCCAGATATTTATATTTAAATATCTAGTAATATATTAGTTAATATTATACAGTAGTATATTATAGTAACTAATAACTAAAATAACTATAGTGCTATATAATATTTATACATATAATTATATATATATTATATAATATATATATATATAGAGAGAGAGAATGAGACAGAGAAGAGTGAGAGAGAGAGAGAGAGAGAGAGAGAGAGAGAGAGAAGAAGAGAGAGAGAGAG